TGGGGTTCGAAGGTGTTCACGACACGCAACTACTACTTCTGGATCCCGCTCGTGGCTGACCTCTTGGGCGGTGTTGCTGGTGCTGGCTTGTACCGCTTGCTTGTGGAGATCCACCACCCGCCCCTCGCCCACCAGAATTAACTCTTGGAAACAAATACATTCGCATAGATAAATTCCTTCCTGTCAGTATACCATTAAAATGCTGCACACAAGTTGACTTTCATGTGAACAAGGCGCTTGGTTGCAACATGTCCGCTCACGCTCGAGTTCTACTTTTGCTTAGAAGATCGCAGCTTCAACCTGTCATGGTCATTTTACGAATAATCCTCATCTCTTGCAAATCTACACCTTTACTTTAAACCTATTTTTCCAAACTACATACACACTTCCCATTGAGCACTATCTAATAATTACAAAATTAGTCCAAATCCTTGTAAATTCCTGCCGTATCCGTTAGCCTGTCATTCCCAATTGAGACCCTCCCCATGTCGGACCTGTCCAAGCTCGTTGTCACCTTCGCCGTGGGCTCAGCAGTGGGCGTCGCGGCCACGGCCCTGGTCCTCCGTCAGCCCAAGAGCGTGAAGGCTCTGCCCAAGCTGTACATCTACGACCACTGCCCGTTCTGCGTGCGTGCGCGTATGATCTTCGGCTTCAAGAAGGTCCCCCACGAGCTGGTATTCCTGGCCAACCACGATGAGGCCACACCCATCGGCCTCGTGGGCTCTAAGCAGGCTCCGATCCTGCAACTAACCGATGGCCACGCTTTTCCCGAGAGTATGGACATCGTCAAGTACGTGGACGAGCACTACGGCGGCCCGGTCGTGCTGGCCCCGTCCGCGGACCGGCCCGAGATCAAGCAGTGGATCAAGGACACGGCCGACGTGTTCCGTCAGTTGTACCACCCACGATTCCACGCTGCTCCGTTCGCCGAGTTCGCCATGCTCGAGAGTCGCGAGTATTACCGCAAGAAGAAGGAGAAAACCATTGGCCCGTTCCAGGACGCGCTGGACAAGACGCCGGAGCTCGTGGAGCAGGCCAATAAGTATCTGGAACAGCTGGCCCCTATGTTTCACTCCAGCCACTCGGTCAATGAGAAGCTCAGCTACGACGACATCGACCTGTTCGGCCGTCTACGTGGTCTGACTCTCGTGCGCGATCTGGAGTGGCCCCCGAAGCTCCGCGAGTACGTCGACTACATGTCCGAGAAGGCCGACATCCCGCTACTGGACAACATGGCCGTGTACTGAGTTAATTGGCGGTGACGATTGTGAACCATGCACGTCGTTGACGAAATTGAAGGGAATTTGCCAGTTTTTTTTTTTTCATAAAGAAATGCTTTAAATTCTCGCAAAGATGGATAGATATTGAAGACTATCGTGGTGGCTGCATTATTCACGACACGGATGAGATCTCAAGAGCGCCATTGTCGCCAAGATTCATAGGAATTACGTAAGTAATAACGATCAGAATGCAACTTGCAGTCGAAAGAAAACCAATTTGCATTACATTTAATCTAGTCAATTTAAACTGAGCTAGAATTGCTTTCGTAATAAGGAGCGAGCGTTTACGATTCGGCCAAGTACATGGTTAGAGTTGGTGCCACGATCGTAACCCCGAATATGAAGAAAATAGCCGTTAGAACATTTGAACTCACGCGTGGGATTCTAAAAAAGCTCTTCGCCACGGCTCGTCCAACATTTTCAATATTCTTCGGAGTAAGCACGACTGGTTTATTCTTCGAAGCAGCTCTGAATTTGATGGCAACTGGGTGTTGTTTCAGAGATTCCATCAGCGCAGCGTTACTCTGCAGTTTTTCGACGTTCTTCCGAACCTCAGGGTTCGTCTGAAGCACCTTCTGAACTGCCGCATCTTGCTCCGAAATCGTCGTGGCACCAGGATTTCTCCGAAATAGCGATTTCATTATACTTGAAAAAGAAGTGGTCGCTTGCTGCTCGATGTCTTCACCCATTGTACCATGTTCCGCTGTACGTAGCATTACCGCGCCCGGCAGATTCTGTTCCAGATCACCATCGTTTTTGAACATTCGGTCGGAATCGTGATTGAGTTCATATTTCTGGAGGGATTTCTTTAGCGACGGTGATGTCATAGATGCAGGTAGCAACCGCGAACATCGATGAGAGCACAAAGTAGCTCAGACGCATCATACTTTTGCTGTGTCTTGAGGTGGTACTCGGCCACAGCAATTTCAAAATGAGCAAGCAACCTCATTTTGGAGTGGCTTGATTCATTGCTTCAGGGGTGGTGGCGGCGGCGATGAGACCCGTAATCACGGCCATACAGTAGTACGCAAGACGACACTGGATCGCATGGTGTTCAAGTCTAAGGCGTAGCGTTCTTTGTTGGGTGTTCCTCTTGAGGCTGCAAATGCAAAATTGAGGTGAGGACGGTGAGTGGCGAAGCGTTACTGCCGAAGCCTTTGTAATTATATCACCAATGACTTTAGCCTTATCATAGTGTATTCCACCGGCATCACCGATGATCGCGTGTAGATAGACCAGAATCTGATCTAACGCGATCACTGGTGACACTGGATGAATTATCTGGATTTCGACTCCAGAGTCTAACATAATTCTTGCGTTTTGTAACCATAAGAAATAATCTGTTTCTTTCTTGTATAATAATATGAAGATTTTCACAAATTTGACTTCAGCTCAGTAGCTACAAATACATTATATTCCTGGGATAGCAGTACGAAGTGCTGCATCCGTAACTAGTTACATTACGTTCAGTAGGTAGGTTTGCCACAATGGCCAGTCATGTGAAGACTCCATTAATGGGACTGTAACTTGAAGACTTATTGTTCTACACAAAAACGAGCAACTCCAGAGGTTCACATATTTTTGAATGTCAATAGTGGTAATATCGATCGCGTGGATGAATGAAAAAGCGATAATCCAAGGACAGTGTCGTCGCTATAACGGCACCTCAACATTGAACCCTGAATTCATTTTACCGAAAGCACATTTGCTGTTAACAACTCATCCCAACAATGTGGATTTACATTTTACGCACACATCCATGTTCCCCAAAACATTCAAAAATTCCTCCTTTAAGCACGACGGTTGCGAATAGCGCACTTATCGCTCGTCGGAGCAGTCGTCACAGCAGGGGCATCAGTGGTAGTCTCAGTAGGGGAGTCCGATCCAGTAGCCGACTCCTGAGTCGTAGTGTCAGCCGAAGCCTCGGTACCCGAGCCAGTGGCCGAGTCACCAGCCGATTCTTCCGCGGTGTCCGAGGAAGCGTCCACCGCCGAGGGCGTAGCGGTAGTCGCCGTAGGAGCCTCCGTGGTTTCGGTCTCCTCGTTAGAGCTGTCGTCAGTAGCATAACTAGCATCACCGGCAACACTGGACGCCGTATTGGACGAGGTACCTTTGCTGGTGCTCGAGTTCGACGCTGAGCCACTAAGAGACGCGAATTTGGCGGCGGCAGTGGCAATAACAGTAGAGAACAGTTCGTCTTCGTCAAAGATTGCGTAGCCGTCGTCATGCGTGCTGAGTGACTTGACGCCAAACTGCCAGTACTGCATGTTGGACTTGGCCTTGTACACTTGGTCGCTCCATGCCAAGTAGGAGGCCGAGTCAAGAGGCTTGATGCCGTACTCTTCAAGAATCACGGGCTTGCCAGCCTTCTTTCCCGAAGCCACGTGGTCATCAATCCACTTGATACCCCACGATTTCGCCTCCGAGGTGGACACACCCCACGAGTCTGGGTACGCGTGGTAAGCACCGTAATCTATACTGTCAATCGCCAAGTTAGCGTCGAAGTCGACACCCGAAGGGCCAGAGTACAGGTAGACACTCTTATCCGTGTTCATGAAGCCCTCGCTTCCAGACGCTACGAGATGGTTCGAGTCCAGAGATTTAATGTACTGTCACACCGTAAATGACAAGGTTAGAGATCTTTGTAAAATAAAAAAGACCGTAAAAATAACTTACCGCAGACATCTCAGTCATCCAGTCCGTAAGAGTCGTGGCGTTACAGTTGCCCGACTCCTTTAGAGTTCCCGATCCGGCACAACGGCACTCATTGCACAGTTGCCAAGCCATGATAGTCTCGTCGTCAGCATAGCGCTTCACGAACGTCTTGACAAAGTTTTTGTATGCAGCCTTGATCTTCTCGTTCGTGTAGAAGTCGTCGTGGTATTTACCTCCGCGCTGCTGGACGTACACGTCTACAGATACAGTTAGAGACTCTGTAAAACTATGTAACAAAGTTCCTAAAAAAATAAACTTACCGATGCCACCATAGTCGGACCAGTTGTTGACGAACGGAACGACCAGCTTGACACCGGCAGCCTTGGCCGCCGCGACCACCAGGTCGAAGTAACCGAGACCGTTGTCGCCAGTGTTGACGGTGGGTTTACCGTTCTCCCACAGCTGATACACGACGTTGTAGGGTGCCGTGCCGGTCTGATTCAGGTCGGCAAAGCCCCAGGTTCGACACACGGTCAGGTCGTTCTTGGCCATGGTGCTGAAAATCGTGGCCAGGTCCTTCTTGCTCTGTAGTAGCAATGAAATTCATCAACCAGTTAGTTAGTCGAGGCTTACCAGAGTGGCGGAGCACAACGCTAGTCTTACCCAAGTGATCTCCGAGGCCCAGTACGCATTGGTACCGAACACGTAGAATGGTTTACCATCCAGCTCGAAGTTTGTGCCGGACGTCGTCACGTAACCGGCGGTGCTGGTGTGGGCGGATAGAGACGCAAGCAGCGCTGCAGCAGTGGCGAAAACCTTCATGTTTGACTCGGTTCCTGTAGCTCGAAAGTTTGCAAGTGGCTCACGAGATGGCACGCGGAATGGAGACCATGGAGAGTGTAGTGACTACGCTCTACACTGTAGAGGCTGGTCTCCGATTTCTGGTCTTGCTGTGAAACCAGTTGGCAACAAACCTGTCATCTTCTATGAGATTTCGAATTGGTTTGAAACAGTGTACCATAAAGTTAGAGGAATGTGGAGTATGCTTTTACTCTGAGCTGTTGATCATAACAGGCATGTTTATCGTTATATAAAAACAACGACGAGCACGTCAATGCTGAAGCAGATGATTTGCACGACCAGTTATGAGCTCCAGCTGGCAGATGCACGTGCTCAAGGCTTTGGCACTGAATTTGTCTGGGGACTGTTGACTCACTCACTGTCTGTGATTCACTGCGGTATTATATGCATGGATGAAGGTGGACTACTGCACGTGTATCATAGCGGTCGCGAGGGCAGCCAGCTCGAGCTCTCGATAGTAAATTGCGTTCATCGCAACGTCAGGTGCAGAGTTTTTCAGCACAGACTTAAGGGTTAAGTGCTACATGATGTAACTCTTTGGAGCGTAGCTTACATGTATCAAACCATAGTTTGGCTACATACCAACGAAGGAGCTAAACCATGAGGGTTACATGATGTAGCTTCTTGGGGTACAGTCATCGAACAAAGCGACGAGGTGTGGATGGATACACTGTACTTATTTATTCACTTAGCAGTTCGCAACAGGTCCGCCGACAGTCGTCACTAGTAGGCGATACCTTCTCGGATGCGACTCGGTAGACGCTTTGCCTTAAGAAGATCTCGATGCTGTTGCCACATGAGTCGGGTCATGGGGGCGGTCTTTCCGGAGACTGTGTAAGTGAACAACGTCGGATCCGACAACGGCGGCGGGATCTCCACTGGTGGAATCACCACGCGCTTCATCTTATCCAAGCGAAACTTGTAAAACGAGTCCGGATGCGAGTCCCAAATGCGACGCTTTAATGCAGCAGCCTCCGTCGGCAGCTTGTCCGACGGCAACTTTCGAGCCTGTTTGCGACGAGGCTTTGCGTTTGAAGCGGAGGTAGTGTCCTGTAACATAGCGTAAGCGGTCTCGCTGCCTTTAGCCATGCTCATGCCCCTCACCGGGAGCAGTGGGGCCCTCATGGCCTGACGCTTGCGGAGGTAGTGACTGCTATTCGACCGGAGCGCGGGCCCATTGTCCTCTTTGAGGGTCTTAGTCGCTGCAGTCGCAGGTGCATGCAGAGAGAGCTGTCGGCCGATCCCCATAAGTTGTATCCCGCGTCAAGGCTGTAACAGCAACAGCTCGCAAACGTGCGGTCTGTGAGGAATAACTCTGACTGAAGGACGCTGGCGCCAGTCGCGCGCAGAGTCTGTCTATGCTGGCACCGCAGCATCCGTGTCACATGTGACAGTCACAATACACGCGCGCTCCTGGATCGGCTCCATGCTGCGAGGCTCCACAAGCGAGCAGATACTATTTGCGTCAGTAAGAAGTGTATGCATACGGCTACGTGGCGATGCAAGTATGCTCCGAAAGTCACTTCAGCACAGGCGCTCCAGTTTCTACATGTACATGCCGCAGAATTTAATGGCGAGTGTGGCATAACTACCACACCTACTGCCAGTAAAAGGAACGAGGAGCCTTAACCAGGTGCCTGTAGTGACATCCACGTTAAGATGATGGCGAAGTTCACTTCGAACAATAACTGCTTTTAAGTCTATAATTTTGAAGTGTGATCGGACGGTGAATTGATACATGTACAGGACGCAAGTACGTGCACGGTAGCACAGTTTTCGTCTACATGAAATGATTAAAAACAAAAAATTGTGTTCGTAACACAAACCCATGTGTTGAACACCAAACATGGAGCTTGTGTTGAATACATAATGTTTGTCCTTACAAACTCCAAGTTAGTTTCTTTTTTCTTGATTTCGAGAGTGATGGTGGATACGCCCATCATTGTGCCCCTGCTTTGTTTGGGTTCCGAATTCCCATCTCTCCGTGGTTTAAACCTTGGATTTGTATGCTACTACAAAATCCAAGTCAATTGCCCTGCGCTTCAAGCACCATCGCGCGGCTTCCAGCGGAACGTACGTCTCCGTTGTTTCGCGGTAGCTCTTACTGGGGACCCATACGCATAGTGTCACGTAGATGACATCGACTTCTGGTTGTGCTCAAACTCGAGGCGAACATGCATTTTTGTGCGCCATTGGGTATAAACGAGTCTATTGGACTTTGAAAAATGATTCCAGCTCTGTATCCGGTCCTTTTCTCTTAGAATATTTATTGGAAATCCTTCTATTATCAATACAGATCCACATATCCGGCTCCTACCTGAGCAATCAGTCCCACTGAGCCGGGAAGATCGACGGCACGCAGAGCACTCTGCAGTGCAGAGTCTGCAGAGCCTGCACCGCGCATTGCAGTGCAGGTCTCATTCCGCAATTTGACCCGAAGAGCTCAAGTCTCCTCTAAGAAACAAGAAACCGCAACCATGGCTATCGCCAAGTCTCTCTTCCGCAAGCCCGTAGACGACGCCGAAGTGCCCAAACATAAGGGACTCGCGTTGCTCGGCTTCGGACGCCACCACCGCAAGTCCGATGTAGTGGTGGAGAACACCCCGTCGTCGCGCCGTGTGACTCGCAAGCACAAGCGCAGCTACACTGGCCGCCAGCAGCCGCAACTCGAATGCGGTTGCAGCTGCAGCAGCGATGAGCAGCCTCACAAGCAGGCCAAGTCCTCAGTCTACGACCGCTGCCTCAGCGACGCCATGACGCTGAAGGCGCGTCTCCACCGCGACAACTGCAAACCTGCCACACGCTTCCGCCTCGCGGTCATGAAGCGCGTGGTCGTGCCGCCTGTGTCAATCCCCAAGTCTATCGCAGAGCATCGTGGCAGCAAGGATCTCGTGGGCGGACAGCGTGTGCCCTTTACGCGATGCATGTGGGAGACCGAGAAGATGCGCCAGCAACTCGTGCTGCGTCGGCTCTACATGCTCCCGATCCTGCGCGAGGATACCAGCCTCGAAGAGTAAATATCTCGCTCCAACCCGAACATTATAAACAAGCCTGTAAATACGAATGAATACAAAGCTATCTATGAGCACACGATCCTGATGTTTGAGTTAATACTAAGCACGAGTATGTACGTGGTAATTTGGATAAAATTGTCAGCATGTTGACAATTCTTTTGTATCGATGAACATGGCATTTCACCCTGAAACCCATAGTCTCCTATATAATCCTAACAACCTGGAGCTTCATGTTTCTCGCTTCCACTACACGTTCCAGGTTGCTACGATATGTGTAGAATATCTGAAGTCGTGGCAACAGGTTACCCTGGCGAAGGTTCTCGTGCATGCCCTCTCCTCAAGCAATGCTCGGTGCAGTGCTGCTGCGCAGCTATCGCACTTTCAACTTCGCCATGGACACGCGCGCTCCGGTTGCACTTGAACCGCACCACTCGGTTTACAATGACTTCAATTGTGCACTGTGTATGCCTAGGACACTGGCAGCCTGCAACGAGTGTGGATCGCAAGCTCTGGATGGTTGAAAGTTTCAACCATGGTCGAAGTAAATCGCAGCACCAAGCCGTCAATTTGCCGAGGAACTTGTACGATGTTCGGGCCAAGTTGTCCGTCATACGTGTACAGCCTACAGCAATTTCCGTCGAGAGTTGTCTCACTCTCCGGGCATCGGACGGCCAAGCCTTCCACGCTGTCGGTGCTGGCGCCATTCTTGTCCGGTGCGAAAACGCCGGGACTCGGACCTGCGCTGCTGTATACCCTCGGCAAATCCTTCATGCCAGCAGATCTCCATGCCATAGTCTCCCATTCTAACATCACCTGCAAGCATGGATACCGGCTCATTTCTGGCCATCGAATTGATCCATGGCGTCGGCTTTGACCTGCACATTCCAGTGCGACAGCCGTCGCTTCTCAGCAACAATAGACGAGTCGAGGAACGAGTGGAGGCAACGACAAAGACACCACAGGCTCAAGTGCAGTCCCCCCTTCCTCGTCTGCCAGCACAACCTTTTTCGACTCAAACAGCGCGATTAAACCGCTTTAGGATCGCTATGGCTATTGCCAAGCCGTTGGCGCACACCCCCATCGTCAAGCCTGAGCCCCCGCAGCACAAGCGAGGCCGCAGCCTGATGTTCCTAGCTCACCACGGCGGCATCGATCTGACCCAGACTCCATCAGCGTCCAGACACTCCAAGCACAAACACCATAAGCACAAGCATGACCATCACTCGGATCACAAGCACCGCCGGCATCGTATGCCGGTTTCGGCCACGCCCGTGTACGACCAGTGCCTCGAGGAAGCGATGAAGCTCAAGACGCGCATCCTCATCGAGCACCGGGAGCGTCCCACGCGATTCAGCCTAAGTGTCATGAAGCGCGTCGTCATCCCGCCCGTAAGCATTCCGAAGAAGCTCGCGGTGCGACGAGGAAGCAAAGACCTCGTGTCTGGCAAGCGCGTGCCGTTCACAAAGGCCATGTGGGAGGCTCAGAAGCGCACATACAGAAAGACACACGGCCTGTCGGTTATTCACGAGCGATAGCAGTAACAATAGACACGCTAGAACTCACTTAACTGATACTGTAGCTATAATTTCCAGACTGCACTTCGCGTATCCCCCGCTCACTTCAGCATTGCTACGTTTCAAGACGTTTGGCTGGAATCCCACGTGGAAATCTATTGAACTTGGCTAAGCAGTTGGTGGGGACTGCGCGGTACGAGGATGGTGGTGCTGTTCCGGAAGAGGCGACGTCGACAGATGGGACGAGCAGCTCGGCGGAGTCGCGGCTTAAACAGCATTTGAGCTTCTCAGCCGCTCAACTTGAGCGGTTAAGAAGCTTCAACTGATTCCACTTCACCTACTGCGTTCTTGTTGAAGAATCTTTTGCTTCGCCGTTGGGTTCTCACTAAGAGATATCATCGCTTATCCGGCGGCGCAGCGTGTGGCATATCCGACGGCGCCATCGATCGTACGATCAGGAAGAGGCGTTGAAAACGGTCTCTGCATTTCCAGTTTGGAGAAGCGATGGCGATGACAGTCTTGACGAGTGTAGCGGTGGTGGCTCGCCACTTCGACGCGCTTGGGGCACTGGAACACGTAGAGCGGAGCATCAGCGAGCTCATCGACTATTCCAAGTGCTGGACCATGGCGAGAGCGGCAGCCGCAGGAAACATTGTGCTGCTGCGACGACTGCACGCTGCTGGAGGCAAAACAAAAGACGGCTTCTCCATTCGTGACGTCGAGCGAGCGATGGAGCTGGCGGCGACGCGTGGACATCTTGAAGTGTTGCAGTTCTTGCACGTCAACTATCCGCAACGTGGCAAGACGTGGTGTCTTGAGCTCGCGGCCTCGAACGGCCAGCTGGACGTGCTTAAATGGCTCCACAAACATGATAATGGTAAAGATTGCCTTACGATGTCTGCCTTCGACGATGCTGCTGATAATGGACATCTGGAGGTGATCCAGTGGATGCACGAGTATCGGTCTGAGGGCTGCACGACTCGCGCAATGGACTGTGCAGCGCGAAACGGGAGACTGGACATCGTGAAATGGCTACACGAGCATCGTCAAGAAGGATGCACGACGCAAGCGATGGATTGGGCGGCGCGGGCGGGCCATTTGGAGGTCGTACAGTGGCTGCACTTGAATCGTCGGGAAGGCTGCTCCACCATGGCGATCGATGCAGCAGCGTCCAATGGCCACTTGGAGCTGGTGCGGTGGCTCCACGAACACTGCAACATGAACTGTTCCTGCTTCGCACACACGGTGGCTGAAGAACGAGGTCACCGCGACGTGCTGGAATGGATCGGGCAGACCGAGCACAACTAGCTGAGCAACAAGGTAGCAAAAGCTTTTACCCTGTATATGTATCGAACACAGTTTAGTCCCATGTGTGACTGTGAATGCGAACAACTCTGCTTTCCTTCACTTTGATATCGAGTACTCGGTAAGACGATAGGAAAACGACCTACATTTGGAACGGTGGCGTAGTGAATCCAAAAGACCACGTCCAGATTCTTTGTAACTTGCACCTCTCTGCGACGCCAGCTTTGATACCTCTCTAGTTTGTGTGAATGCAGCTAGTAAATTTCCGCGAACCAACAAAACTCAGAAAACCAACCAGCTCGCTTGCTTGTTCGACACTCACGTTGACAAACCTGCGTTGCCTGCGTTCCAACTTGAACATGGCAGTGACTTTTTGCAAGCACAGTCTTGATACCCGTAGCGTGACTTTCCTCACGAGTTCATTCTTCGGTGAAGTTCCATCCACTGTTAAGTGTGTGCGATTCCAACTTCTACGTTGTGAGTGACCCGCTTGAGAACAAACTTGAACCGGTTGCCGTCTCGATTCCTAGATGCCACTCAACATGCCTTCATAAACATGATTATGGAATTTACAAAGTCAAATTATTAAAACGCAACATAATCGCGCAACTCAACTTCTGCAGTGCAACTTAATGAAAAAATGGCAGCACTTTGCGCATTATTCACGTTTTCATAGGCAGTATGAGCTTCCTGCCCTTAGCCGACCTGGACCCGACACTGACGGACGTGCTGGCGTTCATCGACGACTTTACCAGCCCCGAAAGCGACCACAGTACAGCATCCACTTCTTCTTCTTCCTCGTCCAATGATGCGCTCTCCAAACGTAAAAAGAACCGCGCTGCTGCCTCTCGCCGTTTCCAGCAGAAGAAAAGAGCGGAACTGCTGGAGCTGCGAGAACAAGCGGCTACACTAAAGAAGCGTCTTCAGGAGCTGCAGGAAAACAAGGCAACAGGAAATAACAAAACGCTTGACGAGACTCAGAAGAATACAGTTGGGTCTGCTTGGCTGTGCAGAGTCGAGCTGGAGAAACAGTTGAGACTCGTGGCTGAAGCGCAAAACCGGCACCTCAAGACGCTACTGCTGAGACAGAAACACACAGCAAATGTGGTCCGGCATGTACTGCAAAGCGTCACAGCCGTAGTGGTATGTTACATCCTATTTTTTTTTTTTACCAAAGTTCTTATTTCTTAACTATTTTTTTCTGAAGCATATTGAGGAGGGCATGCGGACGCCCCATCCTGCTGCCTGTGGCTTTGGCCGCTTTGTACCCAGTTTGGACGACGCCATTTACAGCGAGCTGGCATCAAGAGTGGGCAGTTTGTATCTGGATGCTGTCTCGACGACTGACCCTTTCCAGACCAAATTTATTCCCGATGCAGTGGAGATATGTTGGGATCCGGTATCCGGTGTACCATTTGTGGAAGTGAATTTGTCATTACCAGTGCCGTTGAGCTTTCAAGACACAACATATATCGCAAAACAAGCGATAGCTCGGGACGAGAAGCGTTATGTGAGTACTGGGTAGTGTAGTTTTATTTAAGATGATAAGTGTTTTAACGCCGTTGCTGCTATTTGTCTGCAGACCAAACGCTACAATACGGAGCTGGGCTTGAGGAAAGAATCACAGATCCAGCTACGATACCAGTCGACGGCCATGTGTATTAACGTCCTCTCGCTCGGACGGAGATATGCTGAAAAAGACCGAGATATCAGCACATGGACATCGCTTGTGTGTGACCATCCTCTGGATGCAACTCTGCGATTTCGTGAGCAAGGCTGGATCATGGTTTCAGTGGCACCTGCCAATATGACGCAGGTTGAAATGTGCTATCGGTTATCTCCTGATATCAACTCCGTCTCTGCGACGCTGGACAACAAAACGTTATTCGTGCTGCAGAACGTTGGTTCAGCGATGCGCCAGAACTTTGTGGACATGAGTAGAATTTACCCTGATAGTTGAAGCCTTCCCTTACTTACAGTGTTTTTTTTTTAATGACGAGTATCCAAGTCTTCGTGGGTTTGATACTTATTTGTTTGGAAGAATCTTGTGCTGGTATCATCATCATAATGTTAGAATGGGCCAGGGAGTGGAGATATGGATTGCCTGCTTTTAGGCCGACCTAAATGATATCCCATCACCGTAGTAGCTAGAAAGCAAAATAGTAACGTAATCTCTATAAGTAGTGTAAGTATTCCCAGAGCATAATGGCTTTAAACAATGAAAAATGCAGCGGTGTATTGAAAAAATGTAGTGTTTTCTCAACAGATGGCATGTATAATGCGAGGCAACATTCGTATTCTCTTGTAACATACATGCTGGTAAGCTTTTTATTTCACTGAAAGTCATTATTGTACCAATGACAAAACAATAAAAATACAGCACGTCATGATAAAGTCGAGATAAAGTCTGATCTTGACAGGTTAAATACTACTGACAGCATGACAATGAATCTTTACATCTTATCTAAATAGTTAAAGTGGTACAGTCTGTAACCAACAAATACCATATACTGAAGTAATATGGCATAATTTACTTTGAATTGGGTCATGAAATACCGGAGTTTGAGCGAATCACTTTAGTATCAATACCAAGGGCAGGGAAATCATTGGAGCGATTCCCGCAGCAAGTCTGGGACGTCCAAAATGAACTTTCTCAAGTTCAAAAAATAAATCTGGAAGAGGGGGTACCCCCCTTTCAGATTCCAAGTCAAACGAGTTTTGGATTTTGAAAAGGACTGCAGTTTATGAATCAAACGGCTGCGAGAATCATCACTCCATTATAGCAACTTCGGCATGATGATGACGACGAATACACGTCTCAGCTCCGAATTTTATTCTTCAAAGTAATAATAAAAATCCACCCCGAGATTTTATCCAGCAGGCATGTGCGCACTTAACCGTCACTCGAGCGAGGCTACCTTCCCGTGTCACACTACCAACATTCTTTTTCTAGTGTAATACAAGTTGTGCAGCACAACCATGAGCGGCTTCCTGCCCCTAGAAGACCTGGAGCCGACGCTCTCGGACGTTCTAGCCTTCATTGACACGTTCGACAGCGACGCCACGGCCTCCACATCCAGCAGCAGCTCCGACGATGGCAATAACTCTCCTCGTCCTACCCCTGCCCCGCAATCCGCCGTCGAACGCCGCAAAACTCGCAAAGCCGCCGCCTCACGTCGCTGTCAACAGAAGAAACGCGCTGAGCTTCTGGCTCTACGTGCACAGGTAGCAGCGCTCGAGAACCGCCTCCAGGAGCTCAGTAAGGAGAAGAGGAAAGGCTCAGTGGGTACGCGTCTAGACAGTAACCAGAGACTCAGTGTAACCCAGTTATGGCGGGATAAGGCGCGATTGGAGCACCAACTGCGACGCCAGAGCGAGGAGAGGAACAACCAGCTCAAAACAGTCGTAGCCAGACAGAGCAACGTCGCTCAGGCCGTGCGGAACGTGCTGGGCGGCATCACGAACGTCGTGAATATCGAGGTAGCACTTCGTACCCCTCCACCGACCGTCACTCCTACGGTACTGGAAGGTTTCGTGCCAAACCTGCATGATGCAATCTATGGAGAACTGTCAGACCGCCTGCGCAGAATGTATGTCGATGTGAACTCGAGATTCACGTCCTTGGGGACTGTTATGATCCAAGACGTGTCCACTGGGATGCAAGTGGAGACGGATGCGGTCACTGGAGTGCCGTTTGTGGAGCTCAAGACGGCCATGACGACGAGTTTGAGCTTGAAACAAACGGAGAAGGTCGTGATGGGCTTGAAGTCGTGCTATTACAAGAGATATGTGAGTATTTTATTTTTATTAGTGTTGAAACTGGGACTAATTTTTTTATTTTAGCGGAAATATCTGACAGAGTTGGGGATGAAGAAAGAGAGTGAGTATGAACTACGAGATGAGGAAATGGCGGTGGCAATGAGCTCCTTGTCACTGTCGCGGTCGCACGAAGAAGAGAACCGCCTCGTTCTCACGTTCTCTACGCTGTCGTGCGACCACCCGACGGATTCCGGACTGCGTTTCCGTGAAGAAGGTTTTGTGTTGGTGACGAAGTCGCCGCTTGACCCTCAGGCTGGTACTGTCATTCAGTCGTACTATCGCCTCACCCCTGAAATTAGCGCTGGAGCAGTATCGCCTGCGTCTTCTGGAGTGGCCACTCAAGACGCTACCAAGATGTTTGTGCTGCAGAATTTGGGCAAGAGGATGTGGTCGAATCTTCAGACAATACAAGCAAATTGTATTGAGGCACAACTGAACCCTGCTGCGATCCCAGCGACCTGCTAAAAAAAAATAAAGTGGAAGATTGAGAAAACCTTTTTCTTTAACGAAACTACTTCTCAACTTTCCTTTACGTGAACGAGAGTATCGTTTATTGTTACTTGTAAGTACTAAGTATTGGG